GGTCCCACAAACACAGGCATAGTCACTCACCCTCATTTGCCTTAAGATTCTAGTCCACTTCTCTCCTCTATTTGCCTCTTGGGCTTTAAAGGCAAAGAGGAAGCATGCAGGAAAAGGACCAGGGAGAAGGTCAAGGGTAGGGAAGAGAGTCAGAGCATTCTGCACCCACATCTAAGGGAAGATGCAGCGTCAGATGCTGGAGTAAAGGAGCAGAAGTGACTACTCGGTACTGTTCCTAAGCTGTAGAGATAGAGCAGTGCTCCAAACAGACAAGGACCCCTGTCCTTATCTTCTACTGGAGGGAGATAGGAAGTACGAAAAGTGTATGAGTTACTGCATGTGAGAGCACCCAGCACAGGGCTTGGCACATAAGAAATACTCGACCACTGTTATGTCCTTCTCTTATCCCTGTCCTTAATCACATCTTTGCAGCTTCCCCAAAGGCTTCTGAACACATAAATAAAGCTGCAACCCCATCTGGCTGAAAAAGTCAACCATCTGGAGATTTGGAAATATGGGGGAACTTCTAATGACTAGCTAATTTTTTTTTCAGTTTTTCAGCCAGATGTTTGATGTCATCCAGGCCCATCTGTAGCTATTTCTGCTATTGAAACTCTTTTCCATAATTTCAAGTTCCTTGTCCTAAAAGCTAAGTGGGCTTTATTTTCTTAGTCAGCATTTTTTTTAATGAATTGAAAAAGTGATCACTGACTAATGGAGAATAACTCAGGAATAAAATATGGAAATAACAGAAATTTGGATTAAAGGGACCTTTAAACTGGCAGCCCATGGGTCAGATTCAACGACAAGGCAAGTTTGGCTTGGCAGGCAGTGCATTTTTAAAAAGTTAATTTAGTTGCCCACATTTTAAAAATCGAGAGATTTTACACGTGGATTTTAAATATTTGGGATATTGGGATGAATTTGGTACACATTTCCCCAGAGTAAATATCAACTCAAGTCACATAGTAATTGTCCCTTGGATGAGGGCTTGTGTTCTCCGGTTTGCCTCTGTCCCCACCAATCTCTGTTGCCCGCCACACAGAGACCTTGTTTCAGTTACCATATATCTTCTCAAGTGCAGTGATTTCCCTCGATAGAATTGAGTTAAGTAAAATGCTTGTTTCAACTGTTACATTACCTGCCTTGTCCACATGGACAATGGGATTTGTTCTCCCTAATCTTATCTGAAGCCTTCATTTCAGAATTGGATAAACTGAGGCCCAAATGAGGAAAAGAACATGCACAATTCCCGTAACTGGTAGTGACAGAAATGTAATGAGTGCTCAGGGTTCCTTGCTACCAGTCCAGCGGGGTCTTTCCACTCCGTAAATATATTACTTTGCTTGTGTCTAGGACTCCAAGGGGTCTTATTTGTGGGGGATTCATACACCGAACATATTCTCATTCAAATCCACATGCTGCCATTGAAAACACACAGCAAGTTGGGGCCCCACTTTGTGAATGCCTTGCGTGCTTTCCAGATAGAGATAATGAGTCAGGCTTTCTGAGTGTGGGTGTCTCTACATAGGTCGATTGTTTCTTCATTCAAAACGTGTCCTTTGCCGTCTCCGAGTTTGTCTGATGTCTCCTGCACCCCTGCAGACGAGGCACAGGCATGCTGAGTGTTCTGGGACCTGAGGCTTCTGAATGGAAAAACCCATGTGTCTGGGCATTCTCACAAGCTAATGTTTGTACCAAAGCAACCTATCCACTGGAGCATGAATTAATGTTCTCTAGCAAATGCTCCGAGAAGCAACATGGCTTAGGTGAAGTAGTACCTGTTGGGTTTAGGTATGTGACCTCAGGCAAGTCATATAATCTCTCTAGGCCTCAGTTTCCTCACCTTTAAAATGAGGATAATAAAAATACCTCCATCAGTGAGCTGCTCTGAAGAGGAAAAAGTTAATTTTTCAAAATTGTCAGAACAGTGTTAGCACAGAGTAAGTACTAAATAGAAATGACATCCTGGTGAGTTATAGCAATGAAAACTGGAAACATCCCTTCTCTCCTTTGAGTGATGTGATCCTCTTTAACACATGTAATGGTTGCCAGGCCCATTGTAAATAATACGTGTTGGCTTTAACATCAGAATTGCTTGGAGGAGTTTCAGAAAATTCAGATCCACCACAGACCTATGGAAGCAGAGAATCTAGTTGTGAGGGCTAATAATCTATTTTTTTTTAAATGCTCCCCATGTGATTCTGATGACTAGCCAAGTTTGGAAACACTGATGTAGTTTCCTTATTCTTGAATATCTTTGGTGGTGGAGAACCCATACCTCTTAGGGGTGGGAGAACCCACTCCTTCCACATTGCATGGTTAATTACATTGAGGTAAAACCTGTTTTCCTCTAGCTCTTACTTCTACCCCCTGGAGGCCACATAGAACATTTCAAATCTCTTTCCCATATGACAACTCTTCAGATATTTGCAGACAGCTGTCATGTTCCTCCTGAGCATTCTCTTTTGGACAAAATAGCCACATTCTCTCATGGCTCTTAAAAAAGTGTGGATGAATGGACTCTTCTAATTTGATATCAGGGAAAACTCAGCTGCAAGACCTCCAGTTACTCTTTGACACTAAAGGACCAGAAAAATGAGGATGTTGAGACTCTAGGAGACAGGAGATACTGAATTAGAGATGGTGATACACCTTTTTTCCAGAGGATGGATTCTGCCTACTGCATGCAGAAAATCAGAGGTTCCTGAAATTCCTTGCACACTTGATATATTCAGTACACGAAGAAAAACCTTGGCTCAGACGCCAGCCAGGCCCATCTAGGTGTTGGTTACATGGGTGTACGCATAGCTAAAAATTCATTGTGACTCATTAAAATTACCATATTTAATACTTCAAAAAATGTAAAAAAAATATGGCTGAGTCAAATTGCATGAAGACTGCAACAAATTTTCTCAAAAGAATTCACCTGACCAAGAGTATATCTTGGATGCATCCAGTTCCATCTTGATTCAAATTCTTACTTCTCCCACTAAGCCCACAGAATGCCTGGGTGGGGTTCCAATTCCTTGTACAAACTGTGGGTGTAGGACATGATGTTGGAGAAAAAGAGAAACCATCAGTTGAGAAATTCTGAGCAAGGATTTAGGGATTTTAGGTCCTAATGGGGGAAGCCAAAATTGGTGTTTAATTGTACATTCCCAGGTTTTGCTCCAAGAAGAAGAAGAACTGGAAATAACTGAAACATGGTCTACATATATACCTTGTTTGGCTCAGATTTTTTATGCCATCCCTAGAACCATGTAGACATCAAAACATCCACCAAATCACAGCTTTAGAAGGTAATTCAATTCTTTGTTGTCAATAGAGGAAAGAGAATTATGGAATTTCCCCAAGGTAAATGATTTCACCATATCTGATCACCAATGATCATAAATATTAGATTTTTGTCAATGTTTGGGAAAGAATTGTTCTAAAATTTCCATCATTACACTGGATAAACTAAGAGCTTTGGATAGTGCTAATTCATGATCACCTATTCCAAAGGAATCATTTCCCAGATTGATAAACGAGGGTTGGAGGAGGTAAATGTCTTAGCCAAGGTCACACAGATAGTTTGCAGCATTACCCAGGTCTTCTGACTTCAAGCACAATGATCCTTGTTGCATTTAAAGTAGTCTTTTCCTACCTGGGATTCCCACCAGTTGCAAATATGTGTTGGAAACAGAATTGACTGTAGTAGTGCTAGTGAGGAGAGCAGTTGTTCAGAGTGTCAGGACATGGGAAGAAGGCCAGGGAATGATGCAATATTACACTAGCAAGTGATGTCATAGCATGATTTCCTAAGTGATTTACATAAATGCAAGTTCTCAAAAAGCCCTGACCAATGCCAGCCAGTGGGAATGCAGGCATGGAGAACCAATGGCAAACAGGGGAGGGGAACATATAGGAAACCCAGATTTCCTTGCTCATCACTGTGACAAGCTTCACAGATTCCTCAGAAGCCTGAGAAAACTCCCTTCTGCCCCTCTAATCCAGTGCCTTCCCTCAGGCACATAAGCTTGAAAGAGCTTTGATTTTCTTCTCTATCTTTCTATTTACTACCACTGACATTCAGGCATTGCCCAGTGCTGCTGAGAGTGACTTCTGGTGTAGTGAAAGTGAGTTTAATAGTAAGACAGGTTACCCAAGAGCTTGACATTCTAAAAATTGGTCTGTCCTCCTCATTATAATTTAGAGCAAATTCTCAATTTTTTTTTAAATTAGAAGCTGTGATTTTTGGAGAATCAGTCTTATGCAAATGTCATGAAAATATATTTGTTGAGTTTGGCAATGATTTAAGAAAGAAGACAGGTGGATATCAAATGCTAACACTTCAGTTTTGTTTTGATTACAAACAGTGAAACGTATTAATAAGGAAGTTTTGTTAAAATGTGTGTGTGTGTGTGTGTGTGTGTGTGTGTGTGTGTGTGTGTGTGTGTAGGGGTTCACATATGTTAGTCTGGTTGGCAATGCAAGTTCATGAAAAATCTACTTAGACCAAACTCAGAAGAAACTGATAAGACTATGTTAGAAATAAGGAAATAGCTCAGAGTGTGCCAGCCTAGCTCTCTCTCTCTCTCTCTCCATCTCTCGCTCCCTCCCTCTCTCTCTTTCTCCCTCCCTCTCCCTCCCCCTCCCCCACTGAAATGCAATTTAAGCTGAGCGAAAGACCCCATCACAAGCCACAGATCAAAGCAGTTCACAAAATGCTTAAGAATTTTGGATTTGGAGACTTTGCTCAACTGCAGAAGCTGCTTAGAGTGCCACAAAATCTCATCTCATGAAGCTTAAACCAAAAACAATCAACAAGACTCAACCTCTTCATTCCACACAGCATTAGTCTTGCTGGGAACAATCTGGACATCTGCACATTCTCAGCAATAATTCAAACTATTCCTCTTTCCCCGTCACTGCCTCCATCTCCCCAAACACCCACTGGAATATCAGAATATCAGAAACTGCATTATTTGGGGCCGTTGGGAGGAAATTGTAAATACCTTCTAGGCAGCAGGTCCTCCACAGCCCCGAATGGGTCATTACTTCTTCATTCTTCCTGCTGGTTTCATTATCACTTGTAGATTTAGTCCTGCACACACCTCTGGAATATAACCAGTAGTCCGTGCCCACTGCAATGGTCATTAAACTAAAAGCTGCGAAGGCTCCCACAGTGGTGATCAACATCTGGATACCTCTGTCACACATCCTCATAATTCTTCATGGTACTCTGGATGGCTGGGGGTTGGAGGGGTAGGTTCAATGCCAGAGGGAAAAATCACTCTGCAGCTGGGTAACCTAGGGCAGGCTCTTCCAAAAATTCGGGTCTCCTTTTGTCAGCATCCACAGAGACTTTAGGAAAGCTGGGGTTTCCTGTCTGGAGCTCTCTCCGGTTCCCTGGGTCGCCTATGGCCCTTGGAAGGGTGCAGGCTCCAGGGGGTTGGTCCACATCACTGCTGCCTTCTGAGGATCCCTGGGTTCCTTTCATTCCTCAGGAGCTTGGTAAAGATGAGGGTCCGTGCAGGGCATGGCTCCGGAGCCTGGAGCTGCCAGCTCGGTTTGAGATGCGCCTAGCTCCTCACAGCCCCGGGAGACTCAAGGCAAAGAAATCCAGAGAGGTCTATGTGTGTGTGTGTGCGTGCGTGCGTGTGTGTGCGAGCGCGTGTGCTGGGGGTGAGGGCGGATGGCAAAAAATAGCACTGCTGGGAGGCGAGTCGCTGAGAAGAGTGTTCATTGCTTCCCCAGCCTCCCAGGAAAGCTCTCCGCCTGCTCCTGACACCCCCGCTCAAACTGGAGAAAAGAGAGAGTCCTGGGGCTGGGGACCAGGCGGTTTCATCGGAGGGCAAAGGTCCGCGGTGCTGAAGGGACAGCTCCCGCCTGTTGCCCTGCCTCCGGCTCCCCAATGCCCAGGCTTTAGGTCGGTGGTGCTGAAGGGACAGCTCCCCCACTGCCGCTGCTGTTGCACCCCCGCCTTTCTAGCGCCCGGGCTAGAGACCTGGGGTACTGAAGGGTCGGACCTCCCTCCCGCCGCCCTTCCCCCGTCCCTTTCCAGGCCAGCTAGCCGGCTCGGCTCTGCCTAGTCAATCCCATGCTCCGCGCAAAGTTTCCGGAGCCCACGGCAGTCAGCGGCCCGGCTCGTCGGTGCTGCAGCACCACCCTGTTCCTCTGCTCCCGGAAGGGTTAAGGAAAGGGGAAGGGGAAAGAAGCCCGCAGCGCACTCTGGCGCGCTCTCAGCTCCCACCCAGCGCGGCGTTTTCCCCCCACCAATGAGCCAAGCAAGTTTGCCTTTTGCTGCGGGCGCCGCTGGAGCCCACTGGGGAAGACCGAGTCTTCTTAAAGGGACCGGCGACTCTGGGCGACGCATCTATGTCTCACTTGGGCGGGTAAAAAGTGTTGTCACAGGCACATCTGTGTATAGTCTGTCTCAGTTTGGTTCCCCAGAAAACAAACCAATATGTCTACCCTTCGTTCTCTGGAGCTCTGGTTTACACCGGAGACAACGTGCTCAGATCAGACCCGGAACTGTTCATATACATATGATCATGTATTCCTAAAAGACATCAGGAACTGAATGTATATAGACTCTGTTGTACACATATCACAGATTTGGGGCGACGGGGTGTGAGATATTGGTCTCTGAATACACCTCATATATTTTAACATTCCTACATTTGTGTATGTGTGGGGGGGTGGGGGTTGATGGATTCAAGGTGGGAGAGTCCATGAAAATGTCAGATTCTTTCCAAAGGTCCCTGGAACGTTCATTTGTTAACATCTTTTTCCAAGTTAGACCATGAAGCAGGTGAAGTTAGGTCTGCTTTCCTTGTTAGTCCAAAGTGCAAATGCCATTGTGCACCTGAAAGTTAATGAAACTCTCCCTTTGGAAAATAGTCGATGTTGCAAAAGATCAGCACTTGACCATCTTTCTATTACTATGTATTCTGGCGTATACATGAGCACACGCTGAGTTGACTAAGGACAGTCCACAGAATGCCTTTATTATTCTTTTCCTATGGCATGATGGGAGGGATACCCAGAGGCCAGGTTTTTGGAATTGAGGCTGCTTGGGTTGTTTCTGAGATGTGTCCACTGTCAACTGTCATGTTTGAGTGTTATTTAACTGGACAAAAAAATAATGGAAGGTAATTCCAGACACATATAGTCCCCTGGTGCCATCTCTGGCTATCTGTCTAAGAGCTTCTATGCAGATGACTGAGTAGTAGCAATATATTGAAGAGTTTTCAAGTGTAGATCACAACTTCTCGGTGACTTTGCTACTTTTTTTTTTTTTTGGTGTTAAGGTCACTTGAAGACTTGACTCTTGGTGTTAGATAAACATATCTGGGCATACATAGGTTTGAATATCCGGTCGTGGTGTTTAAATGTTAACCTGTGCTGTGTTCAATTTAGTTATGAGTTCTGAATGCCTGCAAATTTGTTGCACAAGAAAAGGATGTATGCAAATATATATGTACCTGTATGCAGTGTTGTGGGCCATGTAAATAGGTTTGCTGCAAATGCATAGCTGTGTGCATGGGTGGGTACACATGCTTGTGAATAGATATAGTGCATGTTTGTGCACCTGTATTCATTTAATTACATAGGCATATATCATGGCTCACGAGCACTGTTTTATGGGCAGGAAGTAGAAATATGAAAAATCTGCCACGTAACCAAAGTGGAACAGATAAACTCAGGCCCAGGACAGCAGCTCACCTTACCCCCAAAGAACAATAGGAGACAATAGGGGAAGGTATCCAAGGCCTTCTATAAGTTACTTAATTTATTTTCTTAAAAAAGAAAATTTGCTGGGCGCCTGGGTGGCTCAGTTGGTTAAGCAACTGCCTTCGGCTCAGGTCATGATCCTGGAGTCCCAGGATAGAGTCCCGTATCAGGCTCCCTGCTCGGCAGGGGTCTGCTTCTCCCTCTGACCCTCCCCCATCTCATGCTCTCTCTCTCTCTCATTCTCTCACTCAAATAAATAAATAAAATCTTTAAAAAAAAGAAAATTTGCTTCTTATTAAAATGTTCTGCTTTGACCTTTCTTTTTTTAAGGAAAAAACTATCTGTAACTTGGAGGTGAAGTTGGTCCTTCCTGGGAGGGGGTATTAAATTCGTGAAATTTTCCTTCCCTCCTCTTAGAAACTTAAATAATATAAAATAATTTTAAAATGACCAAAACAGCCATTCTCGGATCTGTTTCTTTCTTCTCTTACTCCAGTAAGGAAGAGAAAGTTCTTTTCTCAAAGGAGGACCATGTAGATGGAAGGTCAATGGGCTTTGGACTTAAGGAGAGTATGCTCCAGTCACTCCACTCACCAGACCTGCAGTAAAATGAGAGCAGCTTCAGCTCCACTCCACAGCTCTGTGATATAAAGCCAGACAGACAAGGTGTTGTACCCAAGAGGTTCAGCACAAGGAATTGGGTAACCAAGTAGGATAATGTGGAGTAGGGAGAGGAGGGTCAGGAGCCCAGGCAGGTGGAGGTGATAATTGTAGGTCAGGATGTAGACAGTTTTTCTGAAGGAGAGAAAGGGACATCTGTTATAAGATGGAACTTTATACTGAGCCTTTGGCTTGGTGAGGCAGGATCACCCTTTGCAACTTCTGCTCAGGGCCAAAGCTGATCACAGAATGTGGGAAGTCCTGAGCCTGCATTTGGAGCAAGTCAGAACACCTGTCTGGAGTGGGAGTGCGGAGGTAGGGAGGCCATAGCTAGTTTCCCAGGATGACTCCCCACTTACTAGGGGGTGACCTCATCCTTTCATTCAATTGAATGTGTAGGCGTATATACAGGGGTGTGTGGAATCGGCTTCTAAGCCTAGATTTAATTGCTCATTTCTACCACTAGAGGGCTCTTTCACCAGATCAATCAGGGACCCAAGAGATTCAAAGCACTATCTCTTTTTATGGTGACGGAGCCAGGCCCTCTCTGTTTGCTGGTGATCCTTTCTGATCCTACTTTTGTGATGGGAGATTGGGAGGTATTGAAGTGGTTTAAAACTAATGTTTGATTCTCTTATTAAGGCTTCTTCTTTTTTTTTTTTGTATTGGACTCTTCAGTGGAGTAGCTAGCATGGAATACCTGCTTTTTTTTCTGTGCATCCTTTTATATATTGGGGTCACCCTCAACACAGGAGGGGTCAGTGCCCCCTGAAAGTGGTTGTGTCATTCAGGAAGGAGTGTTGACACTTGTTTCAATTCAATACATGCTTCTCAAGTGCCCACTATGTGCAAGGCTTAGCACTTTGGAGAACATGAAGATATGGTTCCTATCCCCCAAGGAGCCCATTCTATAGTAGGTGGTCTCTCATTACTACATTTGGCTGTGAACAGTGGAAACTCACTGGAGCTGGTTTAAGAAATTGGGGGGTTTTGTATAAGGATATGGTGGCATTTTAAGGAATTTTAGGGCAAAGACACAATCAGGCCTCAGCAAGGAGTTGAAACAAAAGCCATCAGGAGTCTTAGCAGTCACTTCATTTTTCATCTCTGCCTCTTTTTTCTTATTTTTTTGTTGAGAAAAAATGTTTTGCCTGAGCACCTGGGTGGCTCAGTTTGTTGAGTGTCTGACTCTTGATTTTGGCTCAGGTCAGGCATGATCTCACGGTTGTGAGACCGAGCCCTGGGTCAGACTGGCTGAGACCCTCTCCCTCTGCCCCTCCCCCTGCTCTCTCTGGAATCGATAAGTAAATCTTAAAAAAGAGAAAAATTGTTTTGCCTTCTCTATTCCTCAATCTTCAAGATAAAACCTGCATTTTGAGTTTTTACATCATCTCTACTGAAGTGGGAAGAATTAGTTCCAATTCCAAATTTCCAGGAGAGCAAATGATCGGTCTAGCTTGTGTCATGTGCCATTTCTTGGCCCATCCAGCTGTGGTCATGGAGACAAGGTCATGTGGTACAAACGTGGCTATCAGGACCAGCCACTGTGAACTGAGGAAGGGAGGAAAAGAAAGTTCTCTGAGTAGGAGGAATTTCTGTGCCATCTTTTTTTTTTAAAAGATTTTATTTATTTATTTGACAGAGAGAGAGAGACAGCGAGAGAGGGAACACAAGCAGGGGGAGTGGGAGAGGGAGAAGCAGGCTTCCCGCTGAGCAGGGAGCCCGATGTGGGCTCGATCCCAGGACCCTGGGATCCTGACCTGAGCCGAAGGCAGACGCTTAACTGACTGAGCCACCCAGGTGTCCCTCAGTGCCATCTTAAAAGACTACTACGAAAAGTCTGCGCAATTCACATTTGGAACCACTGCATGATGCCTAGGGGCCCAGCAGTAAAACAGGATCAAAAATGAGAAGACAACCCATGGCAGGGTTTGGGGGACTCTGAAGATACTGGACCCCTCTGATAGGAGTGGAATGTGGGCTAAGTGTCAATGATACCAAACTAGCTTCACCTTTTGTCTATGCCCTTATTCCAAGGGACGAAGGTGAAAAGAGAAGAACTTATCTAAACTTGCCTGAAGGACAGGCACTGCACGGATGTCAGTGAAGGAGAGGGCGAAAACCAAGCAGACACAGACAGAGGAGTGTAGCCCCCACCATGTTGTAATTTCTCCTTGATGTGTTCACACGGTCGAGTTATTAGTTTTCTACTTTCAGATTCAGCTTATGGAAAAAGCACTGAAAGTGAAATGTGGCT